ACAGTTCAAGGGTGGCTAAAGGATATTGTGGCTGTGGAACCATGACTTACGAATATGAATTGAACAGTGCCAGTGATTTTCTTTAACTCATTTAGACGTTAAAAACTGGTTCAAAAGAGAATTTGCTCTACAATGATTCATATTTTCCACTGAACAAAAATTCATCTCCATTGTTAGGGAGAATTATTTGTGTTGTTATCAGCCCTCCACAATTTATGTCCTGTCCCTAAAGAGTAATAAGATAGCCTGGTCAAAAACAATGAAAGATTCACTCCCTCATCGAATCAGATAATTCTGGGGGTGGGTGGGAGCAATGGAGAGGGTCCTCTAGACCATGGCCAGCATTTCACTGAAAGGATCTGCAGTGGTCTCTATGCCCATTTGCAAGTCGTGGACAATTTTTTTTTCCACATTTTTTTTTCCCTGGGATGGGGATGCCAGGTGCTAAAGCAGCTCTTCCTTAAATGCCGGTGGGGGAGATTAGGGACAGGGATTCACGAAGCTCCTAAGGATCACATCACATCCTTTCAGTATTCTCCACTACCTCAGCTGATACTTTCCATTTCAGGGTTTTGTTATCTTTTAACTTAGATGAGCTCCCAGCCAATTTCCCGGGTTTTCATTGACTGATTTCTTCCAGTGCTTCCAAATCTTTAATGTGCGTATGAATCACTTGAGTAGGGTGCAGATTCTGAGTCAGGAAGCCTGAGTAAGAGTGAGTCTGCATTTTCAAAGAGCTCCCAAAGTGAGGCTCAAGCTTAAAGTCTTTGAATAGCAAAGATTTATCCCATGTGCAATTTCTTAAATTCCTACTATGTGCCAGGTGCTCAAGAAATATGGAAGAGAGGGAAAGAGAGGGAAGGAGGTTGATAAAGTCTGAGGTAAACAGAAATGAAATGAGATGGGTATGGCTTTAGGTCGAGACATTGAGGGATGATAGTCATCATAATATTGTTTATTACTCACAAAACTAAAGTTGGTCATTATTTCCCCAGAACTGAAAATGTCTTCAAAAAGATTTTTGACTCCTATGACGAGCTGGTTAGTTAGTTAGTGCCTTACTGCAGAAAGTTCTTCTTCTCTGTGATTATCGGACACCATTCTTAACTTTCGTTGCCAGTGGTAATGACCTCAGAGGACTGAAGGGTAAAGGGCCAGCTAGCCTAACTGCCAGGAGGACATTTATCTCTGAGAGTCCCTGTGAAAATATTCTTTAACACAAAATTGAAATGTTTATTCCCAACTGATGTTTCCCAACTTCTGACCACTGAATTTGTGGCTCTCTAGCTCTAATCACGGCAAGTCTATTAGAAATAGTGTAGCCAAATGTAGGTAAACTGCAAAGAGAAAAGCTCAGAACGACCAGGAGATTGAAATGTGTTTTGGAAGCTTTATTCTCATGTCAGCCCTTCAAAACTGGAGACCCATCCATAAACCAGCAATTACTATACAGAGTGACTGATGTTTTAGTAGCGGGATATTTAGGGAATTGTGGAAACATAGCAAATGGACACATAATTCATGCTGGGGTTCCAGAAAAGCTGCCTTCATGAAAGGCACTGAAGCTGAATCTTGAGGGAACCAGAACAGGTGGACCAGAAACGAGAAGGTTCCTAGGATGAGTGCACAGACAGGCAAAGGCTGGGGGTGGGGGTGGCCATGGTTTTTAACAAAGGGGAGAACAGTAAGGGAATGGGGGATGGATTGAAGAGGAAAATGCAAATCAAGAAAAGTCATGGGGCAAATATGTGCAGTAACCTGGGTGTGATGTCTCGAAGACCCTGATTAGAAAACACCGCACAATTTTTAATGAGCAAATGGTCCGTATTCAGTCCTTACTGCGCCAATCTTCCCAATTCTTGCTGTGGAAAAAGCACGTCTGCACATTCTAGTTTCTAAACTGCACCCGTGTTCAGAGTTATGCCTAAGCGTGTTCACAGAAAGTATTTGGAATTCTTCATAACTGCATCTTTGATGTGATTTTTATGAGCACTGTTAATTTCTTTTCACATGAATAGCTTTAATAATGCTGCAATCTAAGTCCTGTTTAAATTAGTTTATATTGTTTTCTGTTTTCTCAGTGATCTTGCCATTGAATACAAAATTGAATTTACAGTTGGATATTGAAAATGACCGCTCCCCTTACACTCCTGTAACCATTCAGAGTGAGTTGCTGGGTTAGTCTTAATTAATATAAAGTCCCTTCTTAACACAGCAACAGATATTGCCCAAACTTAACCAAATGCGCCTTAACTAATGTCTTCACATTTAATTTACATGTCAGTACATCAATTTCACATTGGCCTGGCAGTTTTAGGGAGTTCAGAAATGAGGATGAAATCGGGAGTTTTCACCAGAAGTGTACACTTCTTTTAAGCTAATCGAGTTCTGCCTACAATTACTCGTGTTACATATTTTTTTTAAACACTTGTTAAAATATGAGCAAGTCTCTTGCTTCCTTATTTTATAAATTGTATATTTTCAATTGCTTAATCCTAAAACTGCTGTTTCTCTTTCTGAAAACTATCAATTAACTGTGATCTGCTGGTGAACTTATGCACTCCATCTAGCAGCAAGGAACAGTAAAATTTGCTTTTCAGATCATTTGAGCAAACATATATTTTTAAAATTGAAGTGTCTTCTCCCTGACAGTAAATTAGTGTATTTATGAACTCAGTGACCACAGGCAAGAGAAGGAAAAACAACCAGTAACAGGAGGGAAAAGTAGAACAACATTGTTCTCTCTCCTAGTTAGCTCCCCAACAAAATCATGGAGGGTTTCTTTTGCTCTGTGTTATGCAGAGATGAAAGTCCCAGCTAAGGGGAAAAATGGTACATGAAGTTGGTGTTTTCTTTTTTGTTGTTATTTTTTAAGAGGGGGAAAAATATTTCTTATAAGCGTTAGGTTTATTCGTGCTGTCTTTTGGGAGGTCCATTCTCTTAACATATATTGGCAGGAAGAGAGGTAGAGAGTGTGTGCAGGAGGCAAAATTTATTCTGACTGTAACGGTCACAGTGGGCCTCTCACAAACATAATGCTAAATTATGGGCCTCTCCATGGGCTGAACGTAATGTTAAGTTGTATGATGGATTTTATCTTACACAAGCCGTTCTGGTCCATGAAATGAGATAAGAAACCACTGCAGCTGGAGTTCACAGAGGGTTGAGCTCAGACTGAAATTCCAGAGTTAACAGAATTGGATGAGCCCGTCGTGAGACAGCACGCATGTGTTCTGCGCCTGTATGTTGAGATTTTCAAGGAAAGGTGTCTTTGTGGGGTGCCCCGTGGGCGTTCCCAGGGCCTTTTGTCTCCTCTGGTGAAGGTGTGAGGGTGGAGGGGACAGGTTTGCGATGAAAAAAGGCTTTGATCCCCAACCCTAGACTGCCCCTGCTGCGGTGGGAGAGGGCCTGGGTGGGTGCTGATCAGTATCATGTGTTCGATGGATACTTCCACCGTGGAGAAAGCAGAGCACATCCCACACACGGGGTCAGGCTGATCCTGCCTTCGTTCAGCACTCGTACTTCTGCGCAGGCAACAGCCACCACCTTCTGGGAGGGGGCTTCTAGCAGGAAAAGTACTAAAGGTATTTCTGTAATGCGCTATGAAATTCACAGAGAGCCCCAAGAAGGAAGGTTTTGTGTGATGTGTAACATACCAACAACAGTGGTTGATTAAAAACATGTGGTGTGTTAGATAAAACAAAACTCCTCTACCAAGTATGAATCACACTGTCCAGTCATCTGGGGTGTGTGTGTGTGTGTAAATAATATATAATAAACAAAAATAGATAATAATATAGAAAATATTTCCAAACACAAAGATACACAGTTTTTCTGATGTTCCTCCAGTGGAGGGATCATAATAAGCACTCAGTATCTATCAGATAAATAAGTAAGAATCTGAATCTTCCAGTTTAATTTTGCGCCTGATTTTTAGAATTCAGAGCCTATCTAGTTTTCTTGAGAAATGTAGGGTATTCTTCTCAAGCCACATTTTCTAAGGGTAGAAAAATATAAGTGGAAGACTTCTCCCCTCAAATTTGCCTGGGAAGTATGCAGGAGGCCTTCAGCAGTAGGATTGATTAAATGTTGTGATAATTGACATATAACTTCCAGTTCTAATTAACTTAATTACCTTCAAACTTGCTTTTCTTTCCCCCCCTACTTCTAAGCCATATAACAGGTCTTTTCCAGTAACAATTCCTAAACAGGCAAGTTTGTTTTCTTTCAAATAAACTTTATCATTTATTTACAGGTGGAACCTCATTCCCCACTCCCCCCACTCCCAAATCCCCATACATACCTCAAACCAAGTTAAAATGCATTCCAATATGCTTCCAGATTGCTTCGGGAGAAAACACTGACCACCCAGATAACAAGTACTCTTTTGCTGAAAACAAGGAAATATTCTGTTTTTCAGCCTAATTAAATATGTTGTATTAAACCTAAGATGAAATTAGTTTTGAACTGTAGTATAAAAAGAACTGACTAATTCCTACTAAAACCTTGGGAACAATATCATCCGTTACATCCAGTTTTAAAATAGTTAACTCTGTCATCCATATTTAGACACTAATTCTGCTGATTCTAAGCCAGAAAAGTAGTATCGTTGTATAATATATCTGATGAAAGAATGAAGTGGATACCAGATAGGTTAATGACAGTTTTTCCAGCCAGTCTTAAGAAAGAGAAATCAGGGTTTGGAGTACTGTGTTACCAAGAATGCCCAGAACAGACCTCAAACTCAATTTGCTGGTTTCATAGATGAGAGAGTGAACCACTATTTGTTTCCTGGATGGCTCTATGGGACCATGGAGTTAGAGGTGGAAGGGGAAGCCAAGGGATGCTATTAGAGCACTTCTTCTCAGGAGAGATAATTTGTAAAGTTCGGGAAATGCATTCATTAAGATGATCCCTGTTAGGTCTTTTGAGAAGAGCCTAAAGTCAAGTCCATTTTCTTGCCTTGGTATGATTTGTACTTGGTGGTTTTCCATTTCCAGATGATAGCAAGTTTTCAGAGGCTATCACAGTGCTCCTTTCCTGGATTGAACGTGGGGAGGTGAATCGGCGTTCCGCAAACCAGTTCTATTCCATGGTGCAGTCAGCCAATAGCCACGTCCGCCGGCTGATGAATGAAAAAGCCACCCATGAACAGGAGATGGAAGAGGCCAAGGAGAATTTTAAAAACGCCTTAACCGGAATCCTCACCCAATGTAAGTAAAATTTTGGGGGCCATTTGTTTTCGTTGTGATTTTGCCTTTTCTTTTGCATTCCTTTAATTTTGGTTTTCATTTTGGGGGTAAGTAGTTCAATAATTTCCCATTTTACTCCATACGGAATGGCAAACCTCATAACCTATTTCATGTTCTGTGGCAACTTGGCGGAACACGGACCCTGCCCTGAGAGCTTACTTCTCAAGGTGAGCAACGTTTCTGTAGCTTTTCCTCAGAACACCAAACCCGGCCCCTGGGGCAGGGCAGCCAGAAGCTTCTGTGCCAGCTGTGGACCCACCTCAGGTCACACCGCACCTGCGGTGCAGCCACCCTTTACCTGCGGGCTGGCCCCACATGCAGGACGTGACCTGCATGGCCTCCTAGTGCCGACACTAGGAAGCAGACCCCAAGTACACTGTCCTTGAGCTCTGTTTAGGATGAAGGCACCATCAGAAAAACTCCTCCTCAGGATCCTTTATTTGAGGTGAGCTTTGGCTGTCAACGTGCGCAACTCAGGAGTCGAGATTTTTCTACAGTCTAATTTTTTTGTCCTTTCTTCGTCTGGAAAGCAAATTGCCTTAACTGCTTAATGCTGGCGATTTTTCATGTCCAGACCTTAAATTGATGAAGGGGTATAAATGGGCTTTCTCATAGAACAATAGTCAGGGTAATTACCCAGGGCTCTATTCGAAAAAAGGGCGTATATTTTTTTTCTGGGCAGTCTGTCTGTGTCTGTAGTTAGCGTCACAGCAGCATCATGCATTACGGTTGCTGATGTTCCCGTGGTTGGTTAAAGCCATCGAATGACACTGTAACAATGCCCGCTCCATTCGGTACCGGGTGCAGGGTGCCATGTGGGACGGTGACATATGCAATTTACATATTCATTCCGTGAATGAGGAATTTTTTCAATGATACAATGTGCCAAAACGTCGATCTCTTTCATCAGTGTAAACCCAAGGGATGGTATATCTATCTGTTAGGATGGGAAGAGAGAGGGACATGAAAAACCAGGCTCTCAGGTATCTTATATGACTTTGTTGTCAGAAGAACATTTTTTTGTAGCAACATAAAATATATAAGAAACGTGCACACGTGAATTCTGGTAAGTGACCAGATATCCAGTAGGAGACTAACTTGGGACACCTGTCTTTATAGAAAAGGAAAAGGAAAAACAGAAGTGCTGCTGTCTCATCAGGTCATTATCAGACCACTTTTCCTCGATGACCTATTGTGAGGGACGGCCCTTCCTTGGACTACATACGCCCAGCAGCTCTGAGGTTAGGGTTACTAGGGATAGGATAAAGGACACTAATATTGATTTCCTCTTTAAAAGGAGGGAAGCATGGAATGGATGAGTTGGTGGAGGGGAAGTAAGGCTGGCTTGGTAATGGAGAGAAGGAAGAGAGGGAAAGGCCACTCAACTCTAATGATACAGTCCCTCCAAAGCGATGGCAAGCCAGGTGCCTGAACATGGGAATATTACTGGATACTTCTTGTTCGCTAGCATCAATTTTAAATACATTTTCACTCCCGTGACTTTACAGTCATACCCGGCAGGGAACATTCAACCCTTAACCCTGACAATAAAGGTAGGAAGGCAGCCATGCATTAAAATAGGGGAACAATTCCGTGCCCTTTGGTCTTAACCATTAAAAGAAGCCCCTGTTAAAAAGAGGCCCCGCTCCTGTGACTGAAGAAATTCAATGCGCCTAACAGGATGCAGGACTGAGTTGGCCTCTGTTTGAAGAGAGAGAGAAAGGAAGAAGTCAGGCTTGTGGCAGGGTCCAGACGTCAGCATTGGATTACTGATAAAGGCTGATCTGGAAAGGGAAGTTGAAGTCCCTTTAACAGGCTTTCTACTTTTCTACTGTGAGGCCTCCAGGGGGCGCATCTGGCCGCAGGCAGCCCAGAAGCCCTGGGCCTCACTGCACAGTGAGGAGGAGCCGAGGGGAATGGGGGATGGGGTGGGTGGGTGGGGTGGTATGGGCAGGCTGACCTGCTTCTTTTCTGGGAGGGAGAAAGTAAAGGGCTGGAGCAGGACCAGGAATTCCTGAGGGAAATTCACCTCACAGAAACCTAGGAGTGGAGACTCCTGTCCTAGATGCCTCTTCAGCACTTCCCACTATGAAATATAAAAAATGGAATTCTTGCTTTTAATCTTTAAACCCGTTCTGTTTTAGATTTTTCCTTTACATTTTAGGGAATTCTCAGACCCAAATCCTACAAGTAATTTTTACCCTCATCATCTCCCTCCACCAAAGCCCGTATTCAGGCCATCAGGAAACCCCACTGTGTCAGCATTCAAAAATGACCCGCTTTTCTTCGTTGTAACTACCAGCATTCAAGGGCAGGCTGCCTGCACTGTGGCAGTGGCCTGGCGCCTCAGATAGGCCTGGTGTCCACCTGTGAGTAACAAAAAGCCCCGCCTAACTTTGCCTGAAACAAGGGAGGTTTTTCCCTTTTCAGACCTGGTAAAATCTGGATTTAGGTGTTTGTTGGCATGGGTTCAGGGGTGCAGGGCTGTCACCCTGAGGTGTCTGTGAGGCTATTAGCTTTTCTAGGTGATGGTCCAAAATCACTGCTCTTACTCAGGCCATCACTTCTTTTTTTATAAGCTCAAGTCGCATAAGGGAAGAAGCAGAGGACTGGGTTGTGCCTTTAGAGCAAGAAAGCAAAACTTGCCCAGAGATCCCCAACAGACTTTCGTTTCTGTCTCATTGTGCAGAATTATTACATATGTCCATGCCTAGCTATAAGGAAAGTAGGAAATATCCTTTCTTGAGTGGGCGCATTGCTCCCCAGAATAAAACTGGAGATCTCATAGGAAGGAAGGAGGGGAGGATGGCTGCCTGGAGGCATTTTGCAGTTTCTGCCGTATATAGTCCCTCCTTTTCCACTTTTATTCCTGTTCAATCTATTTTTCACACATCGTCTAATATAATTCACATCATATCTTCCCCACTTAAATCCCTTGAGTAGCTTCCCATTGCACTTATAGTAATATTCACTCTCCCCAGACTAAAAGCTCTCCATGCCTTCCATTTCACATCCGTTTTCCCTTGGCTTACTGTGCCTCATCCCCACGGGCCTCCCTGCCCTGGAGCCTGTCAGAACTGCCTCCCACCTGCAAGCCTCTGCACCTCTGTCCTGCCTGTTGGTTACTGCCCCCCCACCCTGCATGTGTGAATCCCTCCCATCCTTTAGGTCTTGGCCCAAAGCCCACCCTTCAGAGAGACTTCACCCTTCCCCAGGAGGTTCATCAAGTTCGAGATCCTTCGGAGCACTTACTGAAGTGTGCAATGATGTCGTGATTTGTCTGCTTGTGATTATCAGTCTCGCATGCATACCAAGTGTCTGGAAGACAGACTCAGGATGATGAGTGAGCGAGCACATGAGTAAATGGGAAGGATGGCAGGAAGGAAACTGGAGACAGTTCAGAGGTTCTCAGGGCCCTCCGAGAGTGGTTAGGCGTGGGCGGCACAGTCCGGTGTCCTGGGCTTTCAGCTCTGCTTGTGTGACCAAGCACGTCCGAAAGCTCACTAGCCGTGCCTTGGTTGGCAGCCGCTGCGCTCTCCCAGACCCCTGGTAGCAGGCCGGGGGGGCGTTAGGGGAGTCAGCATGGAGGAGTCAACAGAGAAATTCATGCTGGCGTTCCTCAGTTGCAAACACATTTCCCATCTACCTATTGCTTCGGGAGAGACCCCTCAGCCCTGTGCTTGGCTTCTGGGGAAGTGTTTCGGCAGTCAGCGGAGACGGTGAAAAGTCCCAGCTGACGATGACAACCCACAGTGCCGTGGGCCCGTCCCAGCCACGGAGGGCCTGAGGGGCCTTCGTGTGCCTTGACAGCTAAGGCCTTCGGAACAACTTCCAAGATCTTAGAGACCTTAAACGTGAGCGTTAACCTGGAATGAAGCCTTTGAGGGAGAACAGGAAGATGGCCTGTCTTACTGAGCAAGCTCAGAATTTTTCATTCTTTCTTATGTGCTGTCACAAAGATGACCACTCCCCAGGCGCACAGGGGAACCCGAGCCTACCATCCGTCATGACAGATGTCACCTGGCTGAGCTGTGAGGTGTGTGCACATTTCATTGCTCTTTGAATTTTAAATACATCTCCTTTCACGTCTGGTGCAGTTACGTCTGTTTGTCTCGACCACGTTTTCCACTTATCGCAGAACCCTTTAGCATAGCGGGGGGAGTTTGGCATCAGTACGTGATGCGACTTCCAACATAATGATGGCCAAAATCCACAGCGATTGGCACACTTGCCGCATTTTCCAAGAGCAGAACCAGCCACACCCCCATTTGTCTGCATTATGGCTTCTGGAAAACACCACAGGAATCACATTTCGGCTCTCTCATTTAGAATTAGATCATGATTATTAAGCACGAAGATTCAGGAATGGCATCTCGGTTTTCTTTCTCCTGAGGGGCTGGAAATCGGGTTGTTTGGCAGTAACCCTGAGTCCATCCTTCCACATAGAAGATCTCCACAGCACCCCCGCCATTCTCCCTAGCGCCCCATGGTGGGCTCTCCGTTGGAAAGCCATGACATTCTGACTTTCCGGAAAGTGTTCTAAGGCAATTTGAGAGCAAGTATATTGATAAGCTAGCTTATTACAGCAGATGGGGCTGGCCTGGTGTCCTGAGGGGAAGGCTCATTTGACAACTTCCAGAGAAGTTCAGGCACATTTTTGCAAAACGCTAAGCATGGTAAAAGTTTGGGTCCCTCGATAGATTTTACTGGAAATAGGAGAAGGGAAATTTCACTAAGTATTAGTCCATTAAACTGGATTAGATGCACCTATCCTTGCTTTGCTTGTCCTATTTGTCCTTGCTTTCATATTTGAGCACATAGCATTTGCTCAAAGGAGGGAAAAAATCAAGAGCCATAAATAATAACTTAAAGAAAAAGTTGTGATTTATTTCAAGGCTTGCATCAAGGTCCAGTAGTTACCTTCAAGCAGCCTTGTTGATGTTCAGTCCTGCAAACATTTG